AGAACTGCACAATAAGTATTGCAGTATGTAAATTTTACAACTTTTTATAATTTTACAGCTAGAAATAGATCTGATTTCCCTTAAATTGCTGAAAATATCATACAAAGACAGAAGAAGAGGTGGAGGAAAGGAAACTAACCAAATTAAAATAATTTTCAAATATAATTTATATAATTTATTTATCGGACTCCAGAAGATGGTAGAGGACAGGAAGGCCTGGAGGAACGTCGTCCATGGGGTCGCGATGGGTCGGACACAACTTCGCAACTAACAATAACAATAATTTATTTGGGAAAGAATTAAACACAATTGCTGAAAATGGCTCTGTTTGGACTGATAGATTTCAGTTCAATAATTTGTATTAAAGCATGTATGTCAAACAACAGCATTAACCATACAGTTCAGTAAAATACTAGTGTAGCAAATTTTATCAAACATGTAGCATATGCTAATTTTGTGGAATTCTGGTGATGATTCTCTTCAATCCCATCTAATTAAATCTGCATAGTAGAACATCCCTTTTGCAGATTATTTTCATTTTGCTTTTTAACATGCTGATGAAGCATATCCTCAAAAGAAAAGAAATCATAAGATACTTGTACACTTTTTAATTCCCAAAGAAGTCCCAAGGAAGATCTCAGAAGTTAACTGAACCAATACTAACTACAGTAAGAAGGGCCTGGCAATGTGTGTATATCCACATGGTCTGAATTATCCTTCCTTGATTTCAATGAAACTACCCTTCCTTGGCTGATATTCAAGAGAAGAAGCATTGGCCTTGGCTAATACTTTGATAGTGAACTACTATCAAATTCAAGGTTGTTGATTAGATTGCGAAATAAACACAAAAAATTCCCAGAAGATGGTAATGGTGAATTATTTCTGTAATATAGCCAAGGAAATTGATGGGTAAAGTCACTAGGAGTCAAACTCAATTCCTGGGCACTAGTAATTTACCATTTACAACTTTAGGATTATTTAGACCATGTTTACTGCAGATTCTGGAAGCTGTCATTCAAACACTTAACCAAGTGCCTTACTGGAAAAGTCTAGTATAGACCATTGTCTCAAATGTTCAAGAAGAAATATAATCTATATCAATTATGTCATGAAATATTCCTTTTATGAATGTATGTCCTTTTCTTTGTATTTCATAATCTTATTGTATTATATATATCTTGGTGTGAGGAACTCTGCATTTTGTTTTCCCTGCAAATAGGTTTCATGTCAGCACATTTAAAGCTTTAAAACAGCTTAAGCATTTTATGTTAAACTTTCTATTAGAAAGGAAAGAAAGCTGTGTTAATGGCACTGCATTATACTTGGATTTGTAAAGAAAAGCTATTTTTTCATAAAGGGTTGAAAAAAAAGGCCTACTTCGGTTTTTCTGTTAAGGGAAAGGACAAATAAAACAGAACACTGTCTTGCGGGCAATATGAAAAATGCATTCAAATGTTCTGTCTTTAAGGAATAATCATCAGAATTCAAGGTTATTTCATAATAATATAAAAGCAAAGATAGAGTATACAATACTATTCAGGTATTGTGTTCCCACTGAGCAAAAACGATAGCTTGTTTAACTGTGATTAATTGAAGGCAAGATAAGAAACGATGGAAACTAATCAAGGGAAAGAAGCAACCTAGAACAAAGGAGAAATTTATTAACAGTGACAACAATTAACCAATGGAATGGTTTGCCTGCACAAGTTGTGGATGCTCCATCACTGGAGGCTTTTAAGAAGAGACTGGACAGCCATTTGTCTGAAATGGTATAGGGCATTGGCCCCCAACCTTTTGGGCACCAGGGACCAGTTCCATGGAGAGAGGTTTTTCTGTGGACCAGAGGGGGGCGTGGTTTCACATGCTGCCTGCATCCCATGGATGGGGTTTCTCTTGTTTATGCGACCCGGTTTCTGGCATGCCGCGGACTGGTGCTGGTCCATGGAATGGGGAGGACCCCTGGTATAGGGTCTCCTGCTTGAGCAGAGGTTTGACCTCCAGAGATCCTCCTATCTCTATTATTCTATGTTCTAACATTAACCTTAAGTGGCTGGGTTGCTATAGCAACTAAACTATAAATCATAGTTTGTACACTACACAATTGGGTTTATACAAGATGCTAAATCAAATACAGACACATTACATTGTGCCTCATCATTGTGTGAACTTAACCAGTGAATACTATAGTACTTGCTGTACATTCATGTCAAATTCACATTTTATTGTTCCAAGGTGTGTATTTAACACAGCTTCGGCAAAAAGACTAAAATATATATTTCATCAAGTAAGAGAAAGGATGACTGCACATGCAATTTTTGTTTTAAAATTGTCGAAAAGCAAAAGCATGGCGTAGGAGTGCTTTGCAACTCTTAGAATTGCAGTTCCCTGCATGCATATGCCACAAATGTTGGGAAATCCAGCGTGATAGCACAGCTGGCCATTCCTTTTGCTGTACCTACTAAATAGGTGATAAAATGCTATTGAGAGTGAACTAATTCATTTTGTTATCCTCAGTATTTGGCCAGACTGAGCAGTTATTTCTACACAAGTTTGTTTATACAGGAAACCTAGGAATTTGGTTACTCTGCTTCAAGAAAAGAGTAATGAGAATTTAAATATTTATTTAAGTTTTTCTTAGACTACCCAAAAGCCACAGATATCTGGGCAGTTTATAATAAAACATTGTACCTGAATATAACCACATATCTGGAGTGTACACTCTCTCCAAAGATGCAGTTTGCTAAACAGAAGGGGAATTAACTTTCGTTATTACCTTGAATGCAGGATTCAGACATAATAGAAAAAAGAATAATATTGGTAACCCTATTGGATTGAACTCTAAAACTCTAAACACCTCTCTAAAAAAATACCTCTCTTTTTAGTTTTGCTGTTACGAGAATAGAGGGTGTTAGGGGTACTTTTTGTGCTCCAATGGAAGAGTGTGATCCTCCATCCAAATGCATTTAAAGTTTATTAGGAAGAAAATAAGCAAGCTGAAATCATGGGGTCATGGGGACAGAGTAGTGGACAGAGACAGAAAGGTCAGGATCCAATATAGCAGTTGAGAACAAATTAGGCAATCCCTATGCTAGTTGTGCTGTTCAAACCTAGAAGTTTTTGACCTTGTAATACAGGTCCAGTGCACTGGGATTGGCCCCTGAAGTCAGCTGATAAATCTGAGATACATTACATTTTGAAGCAGATAGGTGTTTGAAGATCACCTTCCAGTATATATGTGAACGTGTGTTCTCTCTCTCTCTTTCTCTCTCTCTCTCTCTCTCTCTCTCTCTCTCTCTCTCTCTCTCCACACACACACACACAAAATCGCACATACATAAACTTCCCCATTACCCATATAAATACAATTATATATGCACACACACATGGACACATCTCCCTCATTCACCTGTCTTCCTATCTACACTATCCCTATATACCTACATAAACGCATACATTACATGTACAAACCCACCCCTTCTCACTTCCCCAGAGACACAAAATATAAAATCCACTTGCCATCACCATCTGCTCACCAAAAGCAACGAACATCCTTACAGGTAATGGATGCCCAGACCAAATGATCTGATTCAATTTTCAATTATACATCATGTTCAGGGTCTGCCAAGCACATACACACCCCCAGTCACCCTATTTGTAACTGCTGTGATGGATTAAACAGGTATTTATTTATTAAATTTTATTTAATAGAGCATCAGTGCAGCCTAGAGAGGTTGAGTCACATTATCCAGTCTGCCAGAATGAGAATTAAAGTATTGTGTGGATAATGCAGAAAATAAGGCCATAAAATGTGATTGTTTGCCAGCCCTGGTTCTAACCAGAGAGCATATCTGCTCTATCTCTCCAGGTGCCCGTTGAGAAGAGGAACATTAAACATCATTTTCACAGATCATTAAAATATTTATATTTAGCTATTCAAAATGCTTTCAGGCATTATGTTCCCTTTTCATTTGTTGGATATTCAACACTTTGCTTTTAGAAATGTGTTGTCCATAAGCAAAGCTGTCATTATTAATATTGTGCATGGATTCAATTCAGTCTTTATCAACGAAGTCTGGAAAAATGGGCTTGTTAATAATCTTCAGTGCTCACTCTGCAACTTTTCCAATCTTTATCAGTTTTAATCCTCCTAAGCCTCCTGTAGTCAAAGGCCCTTGTTAATTTATGGTTCTGATTTCATTCCAGTGACTATTGTAATGCATATGCAACCTATCATAGTCACTATTTTAGACATTTCCGGTACTGATAATTCCATGCAAGGTTTTTTTGGTTTTTGTTTTATTTATTTTAGTTATTAAATGCATATGCTGCCCATTTCGTTGTCCAATGTCACTCACAGTGGCTTACAATGCCATCATTTCAAAAGCACTTGTTTTCATCCAAGATTGCACTGAGCTAATAGGTAGTTCTTTTGTATCCAAGTTGCAATCATGCTGATCTTCTGTGATGGCTCTCCACTCTATTAATGCTATTGCTGAAATGCTCATATACAAGCATTCATATATGGGAAGAGAAAGGGCAACAGCCTCATGTAGCTTAAGAACCAATATCTGGCCGGAACTTCTTAAGATTCTGAAATGTTGGCTTCAAAAGAGCATTGTGTAAACACTTACTGAATCACTCATTAATGTGGTTGCCATCCCGACAGCCCCTTCAGTTGAAATGTGCATGACTGATGAATGAAATTGCATCTAAAACTAATGCCTGTTGCTTGCCTCTGACTCTCTTTTGTTGTATTCCTTCACTAACCTCTGTTGTACCATGCTTCTTGGGTTGCATTATGATGCTCATTGCTGAAATATCCAAAATGCTGTGGAGATTGTTTAGTTTCCTGTTTTGCAAACTGCACAACATATATCCTTCCCAACTGTACTTTGACTCTTTTCTCTGTTTTTGTTTTGTGATTGTTCTTTTTTTTTTCTGTGTCCACTGAACTGCACACTTTTTTCCTGCCTATCCTCATGCTTCTGCTCTGGCTATAGGACTTCTTTGTGAACAATAACTCCAGACAGGTAAGTTTGCTTCTGCCCAAATCTTTAGCTGGATGAGCAAGTGGTTTATGCTGATATGGTCACCTGAATAATTAAATGCATTTTTGTGCATTGTTGTTTTTAAAAAGCTTAAGAGGTCTGGGTTTAGTAGGATTTATTTTAGTGTTCAGAATTTTTTCACAAATCATTTAGTGGTTTACAATTAGTGACAGTGTTAATGTAGCCTTATGTGTATGGAAGAACTAAAAGTCCATTTTTAAAAAATAAAATCATTTATAGCAGAGATATAAAAGTACTGTAGTTTTATGTGTCATTCAACTCTTACAATACTGTGAAAGTTTAGAATCAGTCTAAATTGTTCTTGGGTATCTATGATTTATTCTTTACTTATTCTTATCTCTTTTTTTTGGCAACTGTTTATTTGCTTTTCTAATTGACCAGTGCTTTATTAGACAGGAATCTCCGGTTCATTCAGGAAGGGTTGGGGTGGTCAGTGGGAAATGGAATTATTTTTTTTAATTTTGAAAGACTTTGTGAATATTCAGGTATATAGCCAATGGATATAAGGTAATTATCATAAAGTACTGGGGTCTATCAAAGAATGCTTTATCCATAAATATTTATCTCTGTGTGCATATGTGTGTGTATATATGGGTATGTGCATGTTCATGTGTATGTTTCTCAATTGATGGCAACATCTGTCTGACCCTTTCAGGCTAAGCAGGGCCTACAGTGACCAGTTCATAGAGACATCTCTATAAAATTTTAGGACTATGCAAATAGGTTAGCTCAGTGTCTTTCACATTTTGCAACTTTAAGTTGTATGGACATCAACTCCCATAGTTCAGATTGGAGAATTCTGGGAATTAAAGTCCATACATCTTAAAGTTGCTAGGTTTGAAAAACACTGGGCTAGACTGCAGAAGAAACATCTTGGAAGAGATAATGACAAACTACTTCTGTGTCACTACCAAATATATATGAGTGTATGTACAGTATATGTGGACTGAACCAACTTGAAATTTGGGTTGTGTTATCTCAGATTTTCAACAAGATTTGGATGAGTATCCCAAATTCCTTCGGTGGCTGCAATCAAACAATTATTTAGTTATGTTGAACCAGCTTTTCTCCAGAATCCTCAGATATACTTGATTTCATCTGTATCAACCTTGAATGACATTCTGGCTGGGTTTGATCGGGCATGAAATTTGAAAAGACTGCTATCCCAATGAATCCATCTATGCTTGTCCATTCTTGGATTTGAACTTACCCCGTGT